AATGAAACATGACAAAAAAATGACAGAATATCATGAAACCTCAGGAAAATGAAATTTGCTTAAAGCAAAATGTTTTTGCTATTTTTCTGTCATTCTTCTGTCATTTTCTGATCATGTTCATTGATTTTTCCCCAGGTAGCTGGCAAGCTATAGGGGTTCTTACTTCTCAAAGGTGGGGTCTTCGGTGGCGAACTTTTGAGCCAGGGTGCTGTGCAGGGTGCTGTCCAGACTGCGGTGGCGAAGTCTGGCGAAGGTGCTGTGCAGGGTGCTGTGCAGGGTGCTGTCCAGACTGCGGTGGCGAAGTCTGGCAAAGGTGCTGTGCAGGGTTCTGTGCAGGGTGCTGTGCAGGGTGCTGTCCAGACTGCGGTCGCGAATTCTGGCAAAGGTGCTGTGCAGGGTGCTGTGCAGGGTGCTGAGCAGGGTGCTGTCCAGACTGCGGTGGCGAAGTCTGGCAAAGGTGCTGTGCCTTGCTGTGCAGGGTGCTGTCCAGACTGCGGTGGCGAAGTCTGGCAAAGGTGCTGTGCAGGGTGCTGTGCAGGGTGCTGTGCAGGGTGCTGGGCAGGGTGCTGTGCAAGGTGCTGTGCAGGGTGCTGTCCAGACTGCGGTGGCGAAGTCTGGCAAAGGTGCTGTGCAGGGTACTCTGCAGTGTGCTCTGCAGGGTGTTGTCCAGGGTGCTGTGCAGGGTGCTGTGCAGGGTGCTGTGCAGGGTGCTGTCCAGACTGCGGTGGCGAAGTCTGGCAAAGGTGCTGTGCAGGGTGCTGTGCACGCTGCTATCCAGACTGCGGTGGCGAAGTCTTGCAAAGGGGCTGTGCAGGGTGCTGTGAAGGGTGCTGTGACAGGTGCTGTGCAGGGTGCTGTGCAGGTTGCTGTGCAGCGTGCTGTGCTTTGCTTCCCACGGGAACCATCAGTTCCAACCTTTAGGAACTGGAAGTTCTTTGCAATGGTAACCTATGGTTCCCAGGTTGGGAAGCATGAGTTCCAACCTCTGGTAACCGGCAGTTGCTTGCAATGGTAACCCATGGTTCCCAGGTTGGGAACCAGGGAGTTCCAAAATGATCTGATGGGACCCCTGGTAACCGGCAGGTTTTCCTTTGCAATGGTTTTAACCTGTGGTTTCCACGTGGCACCGTGCGTTTCATACCTTGGGAACCGCAGTTCATTGACATGAACAACGCAAACATTCACAGGTAACCGGTCCATTAGCCCAAACAAAGCGTTCTGTACCGGTCCATTAAGCAAAAACCATAAAGTTGTAAAGAAACTGTTTTTCATCATTTTAACATGCACCTTTTCGTGCAAAAACATTTTTTATGCCGGCCCAGCAGCCGAACGCAAACATTCCGCTACCGGTCCATTAAGCAAAACAAAAGGTTCTGTTACCGGCTCAGTAAACAAAACAAAGCAACATTAAGAACCATGAGTTCTAACTTTTTGGAATCAACAGATCCTTCCACTGGTAACGTATGCTTTTTCAGGTTTGGAAACATGAGTTTCAAACTTTGGGAATCCGCAGTTCCTTACAATGATAGCCGCTTAGCTTCGAAAACATAAATTCTAACTTCTGGGAACCGGCAATTCCTTGCAATGGTAACCTCTGGTTCCCAGGTTGTGAACCCTAAGTTTCAAGGTCTGGGAACCGGCAGTTCCTTGCCATGGTAACCTTTGGTTCCCACGTCGGGATCCATCAGTTCCAACCTTTAGGAACCGGAAGTTCTTTGCAATGGTAGCCTATGGTTCCCAGGTTGGGAAGCATGAGTTCAATGGCAACCCATGGTTCCCAGGTTGGGAGCCAGGAGTTCCAACCTCTGGGAACCGGCAGTTCCTTGCAATGGTAACCTGTGGTTCCCACGTTGGCAACCGTGAGTTCCAACCATTGGGAACCGGCAGTTCCTTGCCATGAACCAAACGCAAAAAATCCGGTACCGGTCCATTAAGCAAAACAAAGCGTTCTTTACCGGTCCATTAAGCAAAACCATAAAGTTGTAAAGAAACTGTTTTCATATCATTTTAACATGCACCTTTTTCGTGCAAAAACATTTTTATGCCGGCCCAGCAGCCGAACGCACACATTCCGCTACCGGTCCATTAAGCAAAACAAAAGGTTCTGTTACCGGCTCAGTAAACAAAACAAAACAACATTAAGAACCATGAGTTCTAACTTTTTGCAATCAACAGATCCTTCTACTGGTAACGTTACTTTTTCAGGCTTGGAACCATGAATTTCAAGCTTTGGGAACCCGCAGTTCTTTACAATGAAAGCCGCTTAGCTTCGAAAACATAAATTCTAACTTCTGAGAACCGGCAATTCCTTGCAATGGTAACCTCTGGTTCCCAGGTTGGGAACCCTAAGTTTCAAGGTCTGGGAACCGGCAGTTCCTTGCCATGGTAACCTTTGGTTCCCACGTTGGGAACCATCAGTTCCAACCTTTAGGAACTGGAAGTTCTTTGCAATGGTAACCTGTGGTTCCCAGACCGGCAGTTGCTTGCAATGGTAACCTCTGGTTCCCAGGTTGGGAACCATGCGTTCCAACCTCTGGGAACCGGCAGTTCCTTGCAATGGTAACCTGTGGTTCCCACGTTGGCAACCGTGAGTTCCAACCTTTGGGAACCGGCAGTTCCTTGCCATGAACCAAACGCAAACATTCCGGTACCGGCCCATTAAGCAAAACAAAGCGTTCTGTACCGGTCCATTAAGCAAAACCAAAAAAAAGGAAAAAAAACTGTTTTCATATCATTTTGACATGCACCATTTTCGTGCAAAAACTTTTTTTTGCCGGCCCAACAGCCAAACGCAAACATTCCGCTACCGGTCCATTAAGCAAAACAAAAGGTTCTGTTACCGGCTCAGTAAACAAAACAAAACAACATTAAGAACCATGAGTTTTAACTTTTTGGAATCAACAGATCCTTCCACTGGTAACGTATGCTTTTTCAGGTTTGGAACCATGAGTTTCAAGCTTTCGCAACCGGCAATTCCTTACAATGATAGTTGCTTAGCATCGAAAACATAAGTTCTAACCTCTGGGAACCGGCAATTCCTTGCAATGGTAACCTCTGGTTCCCAGGTTGGGAACCGTAAGTTTCAAGGTCTGGGAACCGGCAGTTCCTTGCCATGGTAACCTTTGGTTCCCACGTTGGGAACCGTCAGTTCCAACCTTTAGGAATTGGAAGTTCTTTGCAATGGTAACCTATGGTTCCCAGGTTGGGAAGCATGAGTTCCAACCCCTGGGAACCGGCAGTTGCTTGCAATGGTAACCTCTAATTCCCAATTTGGGAACCATGACTTCTAACCTGTGGGAACCGGCAGTTCCTTGCAATGGTAACCTGTGGTTCCCACGTTGGCAACCGTGAGTTCCAACCTTTCGGAACCGGCAGTTCCTTGCCATGAACCAAACGCAAACATGCCGGTACCGGTCCATTAAGCAAAACAAAGCGTTCTGTACCGGTCCATTAAGCAAAACCATAAAGTTGTAAAGAAAATGTTTTCATATCATTTTGATGTGCACCTTTTTCGTGCAAAAACATTTTTATGCCGGCCCAGCAGCCGAACGCAAACATTCCGCTACCGGTCCATTAAGCAAAACAAAAGGTTCTGTTACCGGCTCAGTAAACAAAACAAAACAACATTAAGAACCATGAGTTCTAACTTTTTGCAATCAACAGATCCTTCTACTGGTAACGTTACTTTTTCAGGCTTGGAACAATGAGTTTCAAGCTTTGGGAACCCGCAGTTCCTTACAATGAAAGCCGCTTAGCTTCGAAAACATAAATTCTAACTTCTGGGAACCGGCAATTCCTTGCAATAGTAACCTCTGGTTCCCAGGTTGGGAACCCTAAGTTTCAAGGTCTGGGAACCGGCAGTTCCTTGCAAGTGTAACCTGTGGTTCCCACGTTGGCAACAGTGAGTTCCAACCTTTGGGGACCGGCAGTTCCTTGCCATGAACCAAACGCAAACATTCCGGTACCGGTCCATTAAGCAAAACAAAGCGCTCTTTACCGGTCCATTAAGCAAAACCATAAAGTTGTAAAGAAAATGTTTTCATATCATTTTAACATGCACCTTTTTCGTGCAAAAACATTTTTATGCCGGCCCAGCAGCCGAACGCAAACATTCCGCTACCGGTCCATTAAGCAAAACAAAAGGTTCTGTTACCGGCTCAGTAAACAAAACAAAACAACATTAAGAACCATGAGTTCTAACTTTTTGCAGTCAACAGATCCTTCCACTGGTAACGTTACTTTTTCAGGCTTGGAACCATGAGTTTCAAGCTTTGGGAACCCGCAGTTCCTTACAATGAAAGCCGCTTAGCTTCGAAAACATGAGTTCTAACTTCTGGGAACCAGCAATTCCTTGCAATGGTAACCTCTGGTTCCCAGGTTGGGAACCCTAAGTTTCAAGGTCTGGGAACCGGCAGTTCCTTGCCATGGTACCTTTTTTTCCCACGTTGGGAACCATCAGTTCCAACCTTTTCTATCTGGGGTCTATGCCGGTGTAATTCTAAATTTTCTTTGATTTTCCAGCATGGGTTCAACAAATCAATTGAAAAAATGCGGAAGTCCAATGAAAAAATCAAGAAAACAAATCAAAAATTGAAGAGAATCAAAGAAAACAAATTAAAAAGTGAAGAAAATCAAAGAAAACCATTGAAAAGTGACAAAGACACGGTAAAATCATCAAAACATGAAGGAAATCAATGAAAAATGAAAAAATGACAAACAAATGACAGGGACAAATGACAGGACCAAAAAAAACGACAAAATCAAATGACAAAAAAACGACAATCCAAACGGCAAAATAAATATTTTCATGTATATACTCCAGTGTGTGGCTGCAAGTGCCTTCTAATACTACGAAATGATAGCTCCGACCCCATTTTACAAACTCGTTTGCCTCAGAATGGTCACTCCGTGGGGACCCAAGTCATACCATTCTGTGGTGTAAAAATGATGTCACAAAACCTGGCACAGCAAAACTTGGAGTTTGAGTAGTGCCGAGCTTCTCCGTGCACAAGTTGCAATGCTTTCAACTTTTCCAGGCTCTGACTCCGTTCCTTTACTTGGTTCTCCAACATATGCACTCGCTGTTGAATGGTTCGCATGGAAAGGTCATGTTTCTTGCCACCTGATTTTGTATCCTGTAACTCCGACTCCAGTTCAGCGACACGGGCTTCCAACTTCTTTACGGAGTCCTGGGCCTGAAGAAGTTGTTTCTTCAGCGACGTCACGGTCGCTGCCGATATCTCCTTCGTCTCCTGAGAGCCCTTTTCGCTCAAAAATCTCTCCAGCTTTGCTCTGACGACCTGTTTGGAAGTTTCTGGACTGTTGCTCACCGTGGCTGCCTGCAGCGAAAGGGCAAGTTCCTCTGGCACTAAGCCCTCAAGCACTTCCAAGATCTGGTTGTTTCCTTTGGGGTACCTGTTTGCTTTCGACATCTTCAGCTGAAGCTTGATTCGCCACAGCAGCTCGGCCTGCTCAAAGGGTTTCTCTACAAAGTCATTGGCACCAGCTTTCAGGCAATCAATGATGGTCTGCTTATTGCTTCTGGCGGAAACTATGATGACGGGTAAAATCTCTGCAGAATATGATTTCCGAATGCTTTTCAGCACAGAAATGCCAGACAACCCTGGCATCATCACCTCCATGAGCAACAGAGATGGCAATGGATTCTCACGAATGAAATTCAGTGCCTCAGCTCCGTTTGTTGCTGGCTTGAAGACGTAGGTCGTGGAAGTCAGTAGTGATTTCAGCACTTGCTGATTTACCAAGTCATCATCCACTGACAAGATGACTGAAGTAGACGTTTCTTCAGGAATGGTAGCCCCGGAGAGCATGCCCTGAGCAGTAACGCTTGGCAACGAATTTTGGTCATGGCTAGTCGCTACTTTCGGCATCAGTGCCGGCAGAGCCGGTTCTGGTTCGGACTCGCCGCTGTCACACACTTTACCATCATCCGCCTCCAGCACATCGTCCTGGGACCTCATTTTGTATGGCAACTGGACGCGGAACGTTGTGCCGTGACCTTTCTTGCTCCTCACGGTTAGCTTGCCGCCATGTCTTCGCACCACTTCGCGGCAAACTGCCAGTCCCAAGCCCAAACCTTCATACGCCCGCTGCTCTGAATGGTCTTCCTGTCATGGCCCGAGGATGTTGAGATATGTTCAAATGGTGTCTATGCCCACCAAGCCCCTCCCGAAACCTAGCAGCTTGCATGAACATTCCATGACATTCCTGAAAAATGTGCTAAAACGAAACTGTGTGTGTGTGCTCCTCTCTCTGTCTAAATGATCTTAATGTTTTCCCGCGACTATGACTATGAAAAGTGCCACTCAGAGTGACACTCAGTGACTCTCAGGCCATAGATCCCGCCTGATCAAAGGGCTGAAAAATCCGTTCGAGATTCTCAGGTGCAACACCAATCCCGGTGTCTTTGACATAGACCGTGACCTTTCGCTCAATGTTGTCTGGGACACAGCTCACGGTCACTGAGCCCTGGTGGGTGAACTTCAGGGCATTCGCAATCAAGTTGAAAAAGAGCTGCGTGATTCTAAAGGCATCACCTTCAATCATAGGCACTGGGGCTTGCATCTCGTTCACCAACGTCACTCCAGGCCGCAAGCAGGGCACACCTCGCTTGTCCACTGACTGACGGTTCAGCAAGACGACATCTTCCACAATTTTCACAAGACTCAGTGGGTCTGGGCCTGCCCGAACCAATTCCCTTGCACGTAGAAGTGAAGTTGTGTCCATCATGCCCGCCACGATATCCAGCAGCTTCTTGGCAGAATTATTGATCATCGTCAATGCTGTCCTCGCAGAATCAGCGATGGCCCGATCCTCAAGTAGGGAGTGGCTCAGCCCAATTATGCCATGCAATGGCGACTTCAGCTCGTGAGAAACCATAGCCATCATGGAGAGCTTCCATTCTTCCATATCTTTTAGCTTTGTTATGTCCTGACCCACACAAATAATGCTCACAGTTCTGCCGTGTCTGTCAGTGCGAGGGACGGCATTCATCAGTAGTGTCAGCTTAAAACCCTCAAAAGACACTTCAAAGCGATCAGAGCAATCGCGTTCAAAGCCTTCCTTGCGAAACTCCGCGGCCAAGTGTCGCAGAACCTCTGCCTGGCATTCGCTGGCCAAAAAAGTTTGCAGTTTGGTGCCCAAGACTTCTGCTTTGGTCTTGTCTGTTTTCTTTGCCAGCCAGGCGTTCCAGTCCACAATAAGCATCTCCAGACTCACCTCGAACATAGGCACGGCGGCATCTTCAATCAACTTGTTCAAACCTGCTGCAACGGCTTGGGCTTCGTGCCTTTGCTGGGTGAGCTCAGTGACATCCTGGCCCACACACACTGCGCCGGTGATCTCACCAAATGCATTTCTCAAAGGTGTGGCAGAAAAAGCCATGGATATGATTTCTTCATCTTTCTCTGATTTGCCATCCAACTGCTGGTCGTTGATATCGATTTCGGTCTTCTTGAAACGGATCTGCGTGGTGTAAGGAGGTTTTCCTTCCAGGGCATCCAAGATCAGCATGCTGCTTGACGAATTCCAGGTCGCCGAAGCACCATCGGCTAATGCCAGGGCATTCAAGGGTCTTCCCCTAGCATCATCTGAGCTGCGGCCAGTCAGCTCGGTGATCTTTTTGTTCCAAGCTTTGACCTCCAGGTTCCGGTTCACTGAGAAAATGGGCACATTGGCATCCTGTATGAGCCGCTGGACATCCGCTGCCATAGTCACCACGCTGCTGATCAAGCAACTCTTGTCCTTTGTCTGGACATATCTTCGGGTAGCCCCGAGGATGACGGTGTGCATAAGTTTGGCACAAACATCAGCAATTCCATAAAGGAACTGTTCCAAAGGCCAAGAAATGAGGCCAAGGGCTGCCAACAGGTATATGGTACCATGGTTCGCGTAGATTCCCACTTGAAGTGCCGCAAGGTTGCTAACAAAGTTGGACAGCTTCTCCTCAACACCAAGTCTGAAGCCCGGACAGCACTATGCAGTTTACTCACATCTATAATCATCTATCCGAGTCAAAAAAAAACAAAAACAGATGCTGTGTTTTGGGAATTGAGAGTGTGAAGTGCGATTACTCCGGTGTAAGCCTTCACAATTTCATCTCTCTCTCTCTCCCTCTCCCTCTCCCGCTCTCTCTCTCTCTCTCTCTCCCGCTCCGCGGGGTCTTTTTGAAGCCCCAACAGTGGTTGGTCATGGTTGGTCCCAAAATTCCTGATTCACCCCGTGTCGCCCATGTCCTCTTTCCGCATGAGAAGCAACACAATCTCTTGAAGTGAGGCGATCAAATAGTCTGAAAAGCTGACACAGATCAGCAACCAACGGGCAAAATGGTCGTCCACTACAATCGCCAGCCAAGAAGACCCTATGTAGATGACGGTGAGCCTGATCGACGCCAGCAATGGCGCGTTAGTCCCTGCACTTAACGGGACCCAAACATATTTGTCCCAAGCGGATAAGGTCTGCAGGTTCGGCTTTCCATGACCTTGAACGCCTTGAACCAGTTGATCCACGGTCTCCGCCACGTCTTCGCTTTTCTGCTGGCGGCCACAAACACACATCAGCATCGGAACACAAAAACACCACTGAATGAAGCGGAGTGTGAAGACTGGACGAGGACCGCCATAGGCCAGCTTGTCAACATGTACAAAGGTCACTTCGGAAATAGACATTGCAAAGTATATACCCCCAAGAATCAGGTAGGTGACAAACATCAAGACGGAGTCAATAAAGCCTTCAGTATCCTCACGGGTGGTTTGATGCTCATCGAGCTTCAAAAGGCAAATAATATCAATTCCGTTAAGAGCTGCCGCAGTGAAAGATACTGTTGAACTCCAGCGAAATGTATTATAGATGTGGTCGGCTTCCTGCAAGTTGGAATAGCTCGTATTCCACCTGGGGGCCAAGTTAAAGCAGAAGAGAGCCCATGCACAGCAAGCCAAAGTGAAAATGGAACTAATATCACTCCACTTCCGGGTCAGCTCAAAGAGATTCTTCAAGCAAACCTCAGCCATCGGTGGCGCTGAGCAAATGGACTCGGATCACTCTCGTAGTGCAACTTTCGTTGGATCTGGATGGAACTGTTGGTTTTAGTTGAAAGGCTTGCACAATCTTGCACACCTGCTGCAACATGGACACCTGGATTATTTGTGGTATTTTGTGGTTATGCCGTTGCGTGCTAGTGTTGCGCATGAACCAAAGGTCTGCAGGGACGGGCAGAACCAGTTCCCGGTGCTGTTCAACTTCCTTCCAATTTCCCGCCTCCAGGGAGAGGAAGCAACACACACACACACACATTGGTAAAATCCTTGAGTTTGGAGAGGGTGAAATGAGATGAAATGATAACCATCATGTCATGTTGTTACGTTAGCATGTCATGTCATGGCATGGCATGTCGGCATGGGTGGTTTTTGGCTTGGCCACCTTGCCATTTCTGACGATGAGAGTTTTGCAGGTACGTTTTCACGACGACATAGATGGGTCTTCGTTGGCCCGTGCCATCTATGCGTCCACGGGCCCCCTGCTTTTACCCTTTGATTCAGGGTTTCCCACACACAGCAAGCCGCTAGGGCACGATTTCCGAACCAAAAAATGGGCCGTAATCAAGTGTGTTGTTTCCACGGTGTTGTGTTATGACATGGAACATGGTGCTCAAATGTCCGTGACGTTGCGTTGCTTGCTCCAACAGAAACCCATGGAAGTTTCACGGCGTTCAGTTCAATTTCCACTGGAGAAGGCTGACAAAAGCAAACCACTGCATCCAAATTTCCGGCTGTTCAGCAAGCAACCAACGACCGACAAAAAAGGCTGGTAACGGCAAGGCGCTGTTTCTCTCAGTGCTGGGTTGTGACATGGAACGTGGTGCTCATATCTCTGTGTACATGGGCCGTGGGTGTCATGAATGAGGTATGGCATTTTTCTAGCTCTAACAAAAAAACCAAGGAAGTTTCACGGCGTTCAATGTCCAGTGAAGAAGGCTGACAAAAGCAAACCACTGCATCCGAATTTCCGGCTGTTCAGCAAGCAACCAACGACCGACAAAAAAGGCTGGTAACGGCATGGTGCTGTTTCTCTCAGGGCTAGGTCATGACATGGAACGTGGTGCTCAAATCTCTGTGTACATGGGCCATGGGTCCATGGGTGTCATGAATGAGGTGTGGCATTTTTCTAGCTCCAACAAAAACCAAAGGAAGTTTCACGGCGTTCAGTTCAATTTCCACTGAAGAAGGCTGACAAAAGCAAACCACTGCATCCGAATTTCCGGCTGTTCAGCAAGCAACCAACGACCGACAAAAAAGGCTGGTAACGGCAAGGCGCTGTTTCTCTCAGTGCTGGGTTGTGACATGGAACGTGGTGCTCATATCTCTGTGTACATGGGCCGTGGGAAGTTTCACGGCGTTCAATGTCCAGTGAAGAAGGCTGACAAAAGCAAACCACTGCATCCGAATTTCCGGCTGTTCAGCAAGCAACCAACGACCGACAAAAAAGGCTGGTAACGGCATGGTGCTGTTTCTCTCAGGGCTAGGTCATGACATGGAACGTGGTGCTCAAATCTCTGTGTACATGGGCCATGGGTCCATGGGTGTCATGAATGAGGTGTGGCATTTTTCTAGCTCCAACAAAAACCAAAGGAAGTTTCACGGCGTTCAGTTCAATTTCCACTGAAGAAGGCTGACAAAAGCAAACCACTGCATCCGATTTTCCGGCTGTTCAGCAAGCAACCAACGACCGACAAAAAAGGCTGGTAACGGCATGGTGCTGTTTCTCTCAGTGCTGGGTTGTGACATGGAACGTGGTGCTCAAATCTCTGTGTACATGGGCGGTGGGTGTCATGAATGAGGTGTGGTATTTTTCTAGCTCCAACAAAAACCAAAGGAAGTTTCACGGCGTTCAGTTCAATGTCCACTGAAGAAGGCTGACAAAAGCAAACCACTGCATCCGATTTTCCGGCTGTTCAGAAACAACCAACGACCGACAAAAAAGGCTGGTAACGGCAAGGCGCTGTTTCTCTCAGTGCTAGGTTTTTACATGATTGCAAAGTGAACATGAATCATGAATCATGGGATGACACGGGTTTATTCTGAGGGATGAAATTTTCACTCTGGATTTATTCTGGCGTGTCCTCTGGGATTTATTCTGAGAAGCATTCAATTCCTGATGGAGACTTCTGGGTGCTTGTGCGGACTCTGGATGCTTGTGCGGATTTGGCTTCTGGCAACATTATGTCTGGATTTATTCTTGTAACCTGGTATCCCCGGCGGACGAACCACCAAGCTTCCCCGGCACTTTATCAGAGATCCGGGTGCATGAAAGACACACTTTGGTAAACTCCTTGAATTTGGAGAGGGTGAAATGAGATGAAATGAAAACCATCATGTCATGTTGTTACGTTAGCATGTCATGTCATGGCATGGCATGTCGGCATGGGTGGTTTTTGGCTTGGCCACCTTGCCATTTCTGACGATGAGAGTTTTGCAGGTACGTTTTCACGACGACATAGATGGGTCTTCGTTGGCCCGTGCCATCTATGCGTCCACGGGCCCCCTGCTTTTACCCTTTGATTCAGGGTTTCCCACACACACACACACTTACTCATATACATGCAAACTACCCACACAGAGCGCGCATGTTTATACATTATATTATGTACATATATAATCATAAATATATATATACACACAATGCACAACTTCAACCAGAACTTTCAGCCTCTTCAGTGCAAAGAGAAACATTCCCCTCGGTGCTTGTGAAATGTATGGCACGCTGACTGCGATGTACTTCAGTACCATGCTAAGCAACTGTCCATATAAAGTTCAGGACATCACATGGCAGCACCAAGTATGGGCAAGGTGCCGTGGTGATTGTAGCCGCTGCACAGTGGGGCGCCCTCACAAGGACAGAAATGCATAGAAATGCAAGCTCACTGGGATCTGATTCGGAAAGTTCACACCTTTTCATCCTGGAAACCATTTGTCAATGTGTGGCTCAAACCTTCCAAGAACTCTCTGGGGCTGATGCACATTCAAATTATTCAAGAGTCACAGAGAAAGGCTGGACGGCTGGACTTGAAAGTTAGTTTCCACCTCCTTTTCGGCTCCATGGGCTGACAGATCTGTTGGGTTCCGCTGGCCGTCCTGCCCAATTGAAGAGCTTTGCTTCACATGGCCAGCGTGGTCAAGACTGGACAATTCATCAAATGAACCATCACGGAAATGAAACCTGGTGAAACATGTTGAAACACGAATTCAATCCCGTCAAATTCATTTGAGCATTTCGGGCCATTGGAAACTCAAACATAAGATCAAAAGGACATCAAGAAATTGGCGAGGTCCCATTGCCTACCACACTGTTGTACAACAATGTGCTGTCATGTTCGGGGGCATCGCGCATATGATGACGTCAAAAAAAAACTTCAAGAGGTGTCGCCATTTCGGGAGGTCCCAACGCTTACCTCCTCACTCCTGTCTTTGCAGATTCCCAAAAAAGTGTTATCGTAACACCCGGATAAATGCAAAAAACAATTTCTTTTAGGACTGGAGCTGATTTCTAATATTTCTATTTTTTGGGGGTGATGGTGTATAACATCCATGCTGCCCACTGAGGATGTGGACCCTTCGGGCTGGGCAGAATGCGCAGCTTGGCACCTTGGGCAAGTCATGAATGAATGCCATGGATGTCATGGATGTCAAATGCTAAATATGCCTGTCATTGTCTGATATTGCCTTATATTGCCTTAGTGTGGCGCAAATATCATGCGCAATGGGCAATGTCCAGAATCGAGCGCAAAACATAACAAATGAGTAATTAGATGTGATACAAATTCAAATTCGATGGTATGATTGATAGATTTGAGGCACGCTGCGCGCAGGATAAAACAAATAGTGGCTGAAGATGAGGTGGGACTGGATTTTGATTTGGAGCTGCCTACACAGGGCTGCGATGCGCCATCATAAACTCTCAATGAACCGAGTGCGTGCAATAAAGCAATAATATATATATAATGGACATGGACCGTTTGAAATTTTAATATATATATATATATATGGAACATGGTCATCCCACCATAATTAAAATACTGTGTTTTTGATAACGGACATACCAACCCCTATCCATGGATTGACAAAGCCAACATTGAAAATAAACCCCGTTGGCACTGATAATGAAACAACTCAAGTTCTCTCTCTCTCCCTCTCTGTCTCTCTGTCTCTCCGTCTCTCCGTCTCTCTGTCTCTCTGTCTCTCTGTCTCTTTGTCTCTCTGTCTCTCTGTCTCTCTGTCTCTCTGTCTCTTTGTCTTTCTGTCTCTCTGTCTCTCTGTCTCTTTGTCTCTCTGTCTCTCTGTCTCTCTGAATCTCTCTCTCTCTTTCTCTTTCTCTCTCTTTCTGTCTCTCTCTCTGTCTCTCTCTCTGTCTCTCTCTCTCTCTCTCTGTCTCTCTCTCTCTCTCTCTCTGTCTGTCTGTCTGTCTGTCTGTCTATCTGGCTGTCTGTCTGTCTGTCTGTCTGTCTGTCTGTTTCTCTCTCTCTCTCTTCCCCTCTCTGGCTCGCAGCAATCCTGAGTGTCAGAGCCTATGACAGCACAAACACAAAACAGATACGGAAATCTATATGTATATATATATATCATACCTATATCTAAATCTACATCTATATTTATATCAATGTATCTCTCTCTCTCTATTTATTCGTTCGTTTGCGTATTCATTTATATATATATGTATATTTATTTAAGCTATGTGTTTCTTTACAGTATGGGTTTTCTACATAGGTTCAAAATCATTGACAGATTGACACAAGTTGCTGGATTTTAGGGTATCAAATAGGTAGATTCACTGCTGGCTGCATACTGCACGCGCGTTCACCAAAGTCCTGTGTGGCAAGCGGCGCAGGGCTGCTCGTTCAGCCTGAAGCGAGGCTGACCGGTCCCTGATTATTTCCTATCGCCGCTGCTAGACTCTGCTAGACACCGCATAGATTGCCACATCAAGTCGGGCCAAACCCAAATAGTGAAAAAATAT